GGGGGGCAAGAAGATTTTCTACACCCCAAAGCAGCTCGGCCAATGTTAAGAACCCAGCTGACCTCGCCAAAGGAAACCATGCATAGTTGAGCTAACCTCGTAGCTCATCGAAATCAAACAAAGGAACTCACTTATAAACAAGATAAGTGTTGAGCTAGTTTCATTTTTTACTCTCTTTTCTTAAAGCCGAGCTCATCTCGCCAGTTCGTAGTTACAACGTAACTCGCTGAAATACCTCGACATCATTGACATCGACATCCTAGCTAGATGCGCGATCCGTAAAAAACGCATTTCCAGTAGTGCAATTTCTTATAAGTCCCAAGGAACAAAAACCTTATGACTATACGAAAGTAAGCCGGGCCCAGTCCCGCATAATCTCTTAGATCGCACGAGTAAAAATGCCGAACACATCTTCGCTACTCGGATACGATCTAAGAAGCTAACAGGTGGACCGAGTTAATATTCGCACCTACAACATACTAAACCGAGTCCTTACTCGTAAACAAAACAGGATAAGCCGAGGTCTTACCTCGCACCTACAGATCTAATAAGCCGAGTTCTCACTTCGCATTTATTTCAGTCTGTATCTATATGTTCGATTAACCAAGTTCAAACTCGCATTATATTACTCGTCAATCTTGCAGCTATATAGCTCGTTGACCTCGCATCTTTGCGGCTCCTCGTTTATACGACCTTGCAGCTCGTCAACCTCGCAGCTTGTCGACCTCGCAGCTCGTCGACCTTGCAGTTCATCGACCACGCAGCTTTGCGGTTCCTCGTCTATTCGACTTTGAGCTCGTCAACCTCACAGCTCGTCAACCTCGTAGTTTCTCGATCTTGCAGCTCATCAACTTCGCAGCTTATCGACCTCGCAGCTTGTCGACCTCGCAGCTCGTCGACCTCGCAGCTTGTCGACCTCGCAGTTCTTCGCATATCTTGCAGTTCGCCGAACTCGAGCAGCTCTCTTTCAACGAACTGGGGGGAGGGCAATTGTTGGAGGTGGGTTTAGCACCCCCCTATTTAGCCCAACAGGCCCATCAAAATCCACCAGCATTACAATTTTGGCCCATTAACAAGGCCCACAAAATCATCCCACCGTCATCACGTCACCTACTCGCTCACTATAAATAGAAGAGAGGAGGAGACCAAGAAAGAGGATCTCGGAAAGGAGAAGAGAAATAGCTCGTGAAGGGATGAGAACACCCATCTCGCCAAAATCACTCTCACCTCGCCAAAATCACCATCACCTCGCCAAAATCACTCCCACCTTGCCAAAATCATCATCACCTCGCCAAAATCACCATCACCTCGCCAAAATCACTCCCACCTTGCCAAATTCACCATCACCTCGCCAAAATCATCATCTTCTCGCCAAAATCACTCCCACTTCGCCAAATTCACCATCACCTTGCCAAATTCTCTGCCACCTCGTCAAACTGATCTCACCTCATCACCTCGTCAAACTGATCTCACCTCATCACCTCGTCAAACTGATCTCACCTCGTCACCTCGTCAAGCTGATCTCACATCATCACCTCGTCAAGCTCACCTCACCTCGTCACCTCGCCAAACTCACATCACCTCGCCACTTCGTCAAACTCACCTCACCATGTCTTAAACTTTGTTCTTATTTCGTTGTCGACCTAAGCTTAATTTAACAGAAAATCTCCGAACTCTCCAACATAAGTTGACTTGTTTGACCCGTGCGAATCCACGTTCAACAATTAGGCCATTTATATAGCTTACATTTTGTAATCATATTTGACTACATATGAAAAATACTACATGTGCAAAATGTTTTCTAATGCGGTTTAATATTGTGTTACGGCAAAAGTTTTGGGATAACATCAGAGGTAAGAACGTAATTTTGGTCATCTCTCGTATTTCTAGTAATGATAGGAACATGAAGTGCATTATATAACAATAATATATAATTTCTTTTGTGTATCAATTAAGAAGCACTTAAATTTGACAAGAGAAAATACACTTAAAATTACATTTGAATAGTTTGAAGAGATAACGGAAAAGTGAACGGATAAGCGTTAAAGCGTTCTTTGAGCCTTTGAGGTGGGAAAGTGGTGACGTGAGCGAAATCGCCAGTGTCACATCTCAAGTGTCAGTCTCTTTACTCTTTTACAACAATAATATCGTTTCATATAGATTTGGTATCATTAAGGATAATAATTATCTCTAGGTTTGTTGTTACGCCAACACCAACATTATCTTTTCTTATTACTATATTTTTGTAATGATTCCTTTTCTTATTGTTTTTTAAGTATTACGATAGAAGTTTTGACTACAAATATGGTTATCTTTGACACTGACACTGCCTGTCACTGCCTCTAAGCCGATTCCATTTATACTTCCCACCACATCATCGATTCATCATCATCATTATGATATCTAACTAATTATTACTATCACTTCCATTAAATTAGATGCATTGACAATCGCAAAAGTACTAATACATTCCCCAACGCTACATTGCCGTGGAAACGTCATTAATTTTCTATCAGTACGTAAAAAACAATTTTCAGTTTTAACAGATATATAATATCGAGTAAAAAAGAATCGTAATGATATGGTGACCATTTTAAATGGTTTTTTTCATTTATTATACGTATGTGGCTAAATCGCAAAAGTATGATATATCGGAGAAACTTGAGTCTTTAATTTGCTGTTAATACGTAAAAGCCATAAATTTTAACAGGTAATATAAAGTAAAACATAAACGTAATGATGACAAAGACATCTTAATTTATAAACATGTTTTGTTTAGAGAATTATGCGAGATATATGGGAAAAAGGTAGAGGATGTTTTCATTCACGTTAGAAACAAAAACTAGTGCATAACTTACATCCACTATCATGAAACAAGCCTAAGAAAAAGAGAATGATTAAACAAAAAAGAAAATTCTCCCGAGATGAAACCGATTAAACAGAAGATGAAATATACAATACGAAATTAAATAAAAACAACAAAAGGAAGAAGGCTGGTGTGAGAGGTCAAGGGAGACGAGACTGGTTCCTTGGTTGTCTTGGTGGGTTTACATGATGGTGCAATGGGTCAGGTCCTGAAGGAACAGTCCTCAGCTCTTCATTTAACCCTAAACCTTTCTTCTTTTCTTCTTCATATCCATTTGCTCCTCCCCATTTATTCTCTTTCTTCATCACCATCATCATCTGCCAAATCAAAACCATTCTATTATGTTTCACATATATAGATATCTAAGTGTGAGTATGTGTTTATGAAGGTTATGAAAACTAGAGCAATGAAACAGTTGATGGACTTAGACTGCAAAACTTGAGAGGCTTTAGTACAAGTTGAGGCAAACCTTGCGAGTGGGAAGTGCATGAACATGAGCATGAGCGTGAGTGATATCTGTAGTAAACATTGGAGAAATGTAAGATTAATATGTGAACATGAGTGATAGATATATAGAAGAAAGACACAGACAAAGAGAGAGAAAGAGAGACCGGAAGCATCATGCAAGAACATGATGCAGAAGAGCAGCAGTAGTACTAGACTTCTAGAATCCATTTTGTAAAAGGAGAGAAATAGACAGAGAGAGAGAGATAGAGATTGTTCTTCACTGTGGTAATGAGATATGAGAGGGGGACAATCCAATTTATAGCCTACAAGGAGGACTTAAGGGATGTTCTAATTTTTTTTTTTAACTTTAACCGTAGTAACTATTTTGGTTGCTTTTTGATAATAATATAAATATATGGTACGGTAATGTTCGAATCGACAGACTCGATGGACGATGGGCATATATATGATGTCGAAATAAATATATTACGTGGTATATATTGTAGAGCACATGAATGTTTAAAAAAAGAAGGAAAAAATCACTCGTTTGGAATATACAACACTTATACAATTATGTATTTTTCTCTCGAGTACAGTTGTGTTTCCTTTATATTATTTAAACTTATACTGGATTAGTGAATAAATTACGAGTTCTGGTCTAGAATTTTTTTTCTGTATATACACATGTTTTATGTGGATATATACTAATCATGCACACTTGACTAGATATATCATCATGTTAATTTTATAACACTGGTTCCCAGGAGTAACCGTATTGTTTCATTATCAATACATGTAATCTTTCTATATCAGTATCAAATTTCAAATATGTCAAAAAATATTTTTTTTTTATGAAACATATATTTCACAAAATATAATTTTTTTTTCTCTGTTTCCTTACTAAGACATGAATTGATGTTTTTCCTTACAAGTTGTGTGAAACTAAACTAAGCTTCTCGCAATACTAAATATATGTAAAAACATTTTCATTGAGAGTAATAGAGTATCACATTAAACTAAGCTAGAGTGTTTATGGATCATGTGATACTCTCAATGAATTCATGAATTCAAAAAAAAATCCATGAATTCCATGTAAAAAAAAAGAATAGAACAAGAAAAAAGAAAATAGAACAGAAGAAACAACATAGAATTTGCAGCGTTCTATTTTCTTGTTCTATTTTTTTTTCTCTTGTTTTATTTTCTTTTTAATCTACTATTTTTTTTATTCTAAATAATCTTTTTTTATTGATCAATTAATTTAAAATTAGTAAAATAATAAATTAATAGATTTTTTAATAAAAATCAAATCACGTATTACTACGTTCATCTAGAATTTTCGTTTTGTTCCTGAAATGATATCAATTACGGAATAAAAGTTACATGCATTCATTTATGGTACAATATGGATACCTTAATTTTCTTGAGTAATCAATGATGCCAAATCTATTTGCTGGCAGGAAAAAAAAAACTATAGAGATTTATGCCGACGGCGCCGTATCGAGGGTACCATCGGCTGATGTCATGTGGCAGAGTATGATACCTGGAGGCTAGAATTCGACACGTGTCAAACCTGATGGTGTCAGATCCCAGCCGTCCGATGATAGCAAATACTTCTCTATTATCTCTCTTTTTTTACGTTTTCAGATTCCGTTGCTTCGTTTACTTTTAAAATTTTTTAACCATAATGGATTTAGTTACCACCATTTTCTAATATTCTTAACATAATTCTTAGAATAACTGGATGGTAAAAAAAAATACTGTAGTTGATACAGAAAGTAGCAATAAGAGCAAGCGAAATATCGTATGATCAATTGTTGGACGATTTTGAATTTTTTTTCTTTAAATTGTTATAGGATATAAGGATATTTTTTGTACCATGTTTTTCTATATGTAAACGTATAATTTATTGAATAGAAAATAGACTTTGTGATTATGGGTTTATAGTTTTTTTGTTTACTTGATATTTATGATTTAGTCCATAATGATAAATTAGACGCTTAGACAGATGTATATAACGATTAAACATTATCTATTTTATAATAATTAAGTAAATTATAAAATTGTATATACTTAATTCCCACTTTTAGTTACAAATTAGACATCTACCGATTGCCATTTACCTTTTTTTGTGTTTGTCATTTACCAAATTGACTCTAAATTGAGAATATGTATCAAGTTATGGATCCATGGCTCAGTTTATTCAATTTAATAATCCATCAGGACCATCACGAATCTCTTGTATATATTTCTAGCTCTATTTTTGGGTTGGGTTTATATACGCACCTTAACAATGTTCCATTCTTTATTTGTAAATTATTGGTTTATTAATTAATTTGAATTATTGTAAGTTTTTCAGCTTTGTTAAATTATAAATATTTTTATGTCAGTTTTTTCCAACAATATATTGTATATGTCGCTGTCTACATGTTGTCGATTTGTTACCGATACTGTGATATCAGGAAATATGAAACAGCCTGGAAAATGCAATGAGAGGAAGAGAGTAAAAACAAGAAAAGACGAGTGTAACGTTAGCGACAAGAGACTGATTGAAGAAGTCACAAAGGTCAATTCTGAGTTTTTTTTTTAAAAAAAATATATCCTACGTTCATTAATTGGTTCTTTGTCTAAAAACCTACTTGAGTTGAGAGCTCCATACAAAAAGAATATATAAAAGTGTAAGATTCTGCAGCATATATTATTTAATTCTAGTAATTATAACCAATAATAACAAAATGGAAATTCAAAATCCAAATCTTTTGACTTCTTTCGAATTTATCTAGGTGATTTTTTTTTTTCTTTTGGTATAATATTTATATAAATTCTTCCCTCATGGTATTAGTTATCATGACTGCAAATATCTCTTATGCCAAGAGCCAAAAGGTCATGTTTATCATTATATCATATAATCTATATATTATTTACAAAGTTAAAAATCTGATATATTATCACTACAGCGATTGTTTTATATATCATTAATTTAAAAAAATATAACATTTTAATTAGTTTTGATAGCCTAATCATTAATCCTACATGTAAAAATTGTTGACATTTTTTCTTTTTCAATAATGGATCAGCGAATTTGTTTATGGGCCAGCGATTTTGTTCTCGGTCATAGCCACTAATAATACCTGATTTTGACCACTTTTTACCATTGATTTCAAATATTTTTTTTTAAATTTATTTTTATTTTAGTTTAAGAACTTTTATTATAATTTCCATATATTTGTAGTTTCAAAGCTCTTTTCTGGAAACTTAGGGAATATGATGACAAAATGGAAGAAATTCATATTTTTAGCTCAGAGTCAGACCGTCAGAAGTTCAGCCTCAAATCAAGACATTCTCACTGTCTGATCCAGCTCAAATTTGAAGACAATCAAGAGGAGACAACCAGCTTTCCATAGCACTTTACATCACATGATCCAACGGTACAATCAAAAGATACATGGAGAACAAGTTGACCCAGTTCACCAGTTCCGGAAGACTATCACCCGCGGCAAAAGCATGTTTTACCTGTCCTGGAAGATTCTCACCCCCGGTGGACCTTAGGACGAGCCACAAGGCCCAACATCAAAGCCCACTTCGCTATTTCTCTTCAGAGAAACCCTAAATGAGACCTGGAAGACCTTAGGACCGACCTATAAATACATTGTTTAGCAGTCCTAAACGGGTGTGTGCTCCTGTAATGAAATTTTGAGCCACCAAACTCTGTTTTTATAGGGTTAGGCAATGGAGATGGGGATTCTTCCCCAGATCCATTATTCTTTCTCCTTTTTATCTTATTAACTTTTCTGTTTCATTCTTTTGCATTCTTCTATGTCTTTTATCATTCATTGCATCATGTAGATTAGTCCAAGAGAGTCAAGTTGTTTGAAGATATCAACAAACATATATATCGATTAGGATTTCTATTTTTCTTAGCCATATTATGGATCTCATCTCTTCTAAGTTGTTTATAAAGCATGAGAGTAGATTCATGACATATCCTCTGAGCCTAGGATCGATCAGAGCCACGAGAGTGCTGTATCAGATCATCCGTACCTAGCTTCAGAAAAACATAGTCGCTATAGGAGTCGAGAGCTACCTATAGAGAAAATGTGAGCAGACGAATTCAATGTCCAATGCATGATCTTAAGTTTAGCATGAGAGTGAGAGTTAATTGCTAGATCTAAAAGATTAGTTGATTAAGGTGACGACAGTTGGTTAATCATACATATGTCTATTCTAGTTCAATGCAGATTCCCAGAAATAGATGAAGATAAATCGCCCGGAAGCTAATTGGAAATGCCATCATACTATCGATTAGAGTAACCCGGAGAAGTCTAAATCGCCACCTATGAGTTTAAGAGTCTTTAATTTGAGTCGATATGCTTTAGATGTTCTTTTAACAATTCATCATGCATTGCATTTATTGTGAATACTAGATTAGGTTTAGTTTAGGATCTTAACCAAAAACTCCAAATCTTTTATTGGTTTATGAGTTTGCTTACTTCCCAGTTTGTTGTTTCTCACAGATTAGACATCATCCCTGTGGATCGACTCCCTAAGTCCTACAACGTGCATCTGTGCACTTGCAGACACTAGGGTTTTATAAATTTAAAATTTTTGGAGGACTAACGGGCTTATTAAAATCAACCTTAGGCCCGCAAGCCCATCAAGTTTTTGGCACCGTTGCCGGGGAGGATTTTAGTCTCTGGAGGTCTAAACCTGGAAGGTTGGGGCCGCAGAAGACTATATATATGTCGAGTTTCTGCCAAAGCAACATAGGAAGTAAACCAAATTTATAAACACCCTAACTTTTTCTTTTTCTGCTCATTCTTTCTTCTGTTTGCCCTAGTTTCAGAAACTTTTGAAGCATGGATCATCCAAGGAGAAACCCTAACCCCAAGCGAAAGGTCCTGCGACCTGTGTGAAGCTCCCTGCGCATGTGAATCACCCTCCAGGCGTGATTTTGATCATCATCTTCGGAACCCTAATCCAAACCACCACCATAGAGACTCGCGACCTCCACACCACCGAGATGGCCCTATTCGCCACACCTGGTGAACCGTCAACCATCTCATCCTCTTCCTCATCAGATTCTACACCAGAACTATGAGAACAATCGACTTAACATCCTGATTAATCGATTGGAAGCCAAGCTGAATCAGTTCCTTGCCTCCCAAGCCCTCATCAATGCTGCCCTGCCAACAAAGATAGATGACGTGACCATCAACCTCAACAAAGGGTTT